ATTGAAGTTCTGATAGAATTATTTGCTGAGACCATATGGTTCTGGACTTCTTATTGAGGGATTTTAAATTAATGTTTTTATCTCATTTCATATTATTAGTCTATTTGAGCTGTTAATTTCATCTTTATTTAGCTTTAGTAGGCCACATATATTCATCTGTTTATTTTAGGTTTTTCCAGTTTGGTAGATTTTAAAGTATGCTGTAATTATCTGAATTTTCTAGATGTCTGATGTAATGTTTACCTTTTTGTTTCTATTTTTATTAAATTTGAATCATCTCTCTTTACTTTGTTTAATTAGGGTTAAAGTTTGTCAATCTGGTTTTTCTTTTCAAAAGAACCAACTAATTCTTTTGTATTTTTTAATTTCTGTTTTGTTAATTTCAAACCATATTTTGATTATGTCTTCTCATTTTCCTTTTTGAGTGTTGCTTGATATCATTTTCCCTAGGCTTCTGGATCCCATCACTAATTTATTAAGTTCAGATCCCTTGAATATTTGCATGTCCTCCTAGGATAGCCATTGTGTCTTATAGATTTTTTATGATGTGCCTTAATATTCATTCACTTCTAAGAATTTTAAACTTTATTCTCGAATTTAATTAATTATGTTTAGTGGAATCATAACCTTGGAATCATTTAGTCAAATACTTGGTCTTATTTTTACATGAATATTATGTATACTTATGACACAGCTTAGCTACAGCACAAGTAATATGATAATTGACCATATTTCCAAACTCCAGTAACCTTTCCCCCAGAGAAATCCAACATTAATTTACTAGTTTAGTTCTAAATGGAATTCTGTCTTTATTTAGGGATATTAGCATATAATTGAATTTATGTCTTTTTTAAGTTTTTGTATGCAATACTCTAAATGGGAGGTAATATGGAATGAACACCTAATATATCTTCATATTTTGAATATGGAATCTTTTGTGATCCAAATCACTGATGTACTTGCTAATCATATTTTCTACATCTGTATATGTGCAGTAGAAGGTTAAGCTCAACTGAGCGCTAAAGTTAGAAAGACACATTCTTTTCCATAAAAATAAATTTTAAGCTTTACTTTTGGATATAAAGACTTCTTTCCAATGCTATTCTTCATTTTGTTTTCTGCTTTTTTTTCAAATTCATAAACAATCAACAGAGGCCGAATTACAAAAGAAATCAGTGAAAAGTAAAAACAATCTTGAGAACAATAAAAATACTCAACTATCTGTAAGTCAATTTTAAATTTGAGTTGCTACTTAGATATTTTCTTTGTAAAATAATTTATCATAGGCTCAATGAATTTTTCTTATGTATATGCCTTTACATTGATTAGTCTTAATTAAAATTAATTTTAAAAATATTCAGCTGGATAGAAACTTAGAACTTTCTTAGCATAGACAGTAGTTCCTAACTAATCTTCCTCTCAGATTCGTCTTTAAGTTTTCATCCTGTACACTTCCTTACTTTGAAAATTTTTAACTGAGGAGGACATGGAAGAGATGAACAATGAAGTACTTATCATCAAATTATTCTATAGCTTTTTAAAATTTGTGTCTTGTAACATTTTGTATGTCTATGTTTTTCTAAGTTTGGAAAACATGTTTCTTTTGGTTTCAATAATATTTCTTTAAAATAGGAAATCTCCTATGATAAACTCCTTGGAAAAAATTCATGGAATTCACTATTGATATTTACTTTGCCAGAATAACATCATGGATCTGCAACCCAGGCATAGTCCTCATTCATCAATGGGACTAAGTCCAAGATTCACAGATCTTAATTCAGGAGAAGCTAAGACTCTTATGTCATCAGTAAGTTATTGAACACATTGTTTTGTTTTTATTTTTTAATCAGGAAAAGCAATATTTTTTACTAGTCCAAAATGGTTGTGGTGATATATTGTTCACCCCAATATATTGTGTACAGCATAGTATACCCTAATAAATTTATCTAGGAATCAGAGGACAGATTCAGCCACTAGATTAGACACAGAGGCCAGACAGTGGCGGCACACATGCCTTTACAGAGATCCATCTGGATCTCTGTGAGTTCAAGGCCACACTAGGAACAGAGCCAGTCATGGTGGCACACACCTTTAATCCCAGCACTTGAAATATCATGTCTTTGCTTGTGAAGGACACACAACTTTAATCCCAGGAAGTGATGGCAGGAAGCAGAAAGGTATATAAAGCATGTGGATCAGAAACTAGAGGCTTTTGAGCAGTTCAGCTGAGATCTATTCAGGTGAGGACTCAGATGCTTTCAGTCTGAGGAAACAGGATCAGCGGAGGAGTTGGTGAGGTGAGGTTTGCTGTGGCTTGTTCTGTCTCTCTGATCTTTCAGCATTCACCCGAATATCTGTCTCCAGGTTTTCTATTAATAAGACCATTTAGCAATTTGTGTTACACAGATTATTTTCTAGTACAATGAACACTAGTCTGATAACTAGCTACATCCTGCATTTGGTTTTATTTTTGACCCAATTTATTCAGTGTTTTTAAGAGATCATGGAATGAAGTCTGTGACAACAAATCACATTACATAATATACACATTATATAAAAATATATATCAGTTTTCAATCAACAGTTTTGTAACTCATCATTATAAACTGTCTTCTGGATTAGAACCTCAAAGTCACATGTAATAAATTATCCATTCATTAAAGTGATTTAATTACATCTTTTTTCTCACCTTTCCTATTTCCCTCTTGCATGGATTAATAGTCCTTTCTTGGGTTTTCAAGTTATACCTCACTTAATATTCTTTTTCTGTTGCTGCTCATGTTTCACACTATTCCATCTGCCTAAGTCACTCTACAAGTCTCAGCTCTATCTTTCCTTCTTGGAATATCATGCCTGAAAACTTTCACTAATAGCTTTTAATAATCTTAAGCACCTTGCATTTACCAGGACCTCAGTATTTACTGAGAAAAATAAATAGTGACTATTTAAACTAAGATGATTGCAAAAGTTTAACGTACCGATCCAGGAGTAAAAGGAATAATTTTGAAAAGCAAATAAAGTTTTGCTGGTAAAGCCAAAAAAATCATATAAAGCATTAATTAATTCAAAAGAGACGCCTAGCATTCAGGGAAAAAGAAAGAGTGAAGGAAACCTTCTCAAAGTCAAATGAACCTTAAGGAGCAAGGAAAGTTAGCACCGAAGTGACCAAATGAATGAAAAGTTGTATCAGGAAAATGACTGTAGTGCTCAGCAGGCTGTTTAAATTATCTGTTTTGAAGTATTGAATGGTATACATGGTGAATTCATATGTGTGTGTGGGGGGGTGTGTGTGGCTTTTTTACATTTAACTTTAGTTTTACATTTTTAAAAAATATTGGCCATAGATAGATAGATAGATAGGATAGATAGATAGATAGGTAGGTAGGTAGGTAGGTAGATAAGGTGGATACAATTTTGACTAAATCTTCCAATTCTGTTGCCTTAAAGCTAAGAAATATTTGGCATCTGTCAAAGGGTTATATTGAAGTTTTAGATAATGGGAATTATCTCCTAAAGTAAAGTTTTCAGCTAAAGATAAATAGGTTGAATTGAAATTCTCAAATGGGAAAATAGAAAAAAACAGTATTTTTTATTGCAGATTTTAGAAAAAAATAGTATTTATTATTGCAGATTTAAAAATTTTTGGCTAATATTAAATCTATGTTGTTTTCTTTAATGTTTGTGGTATAACTAAGTACATTTATTTATTATGAACAGTGGTATTCGAAGATGATCAAATTATGTGTGATGGAAGCAAAATAACCAGCCATCGGTATGTAAATACTTACATTTAAAAGAGTAATGTTACAGTTTTTTTTTTTTAAATTCTGTAGCAGGTCTCCCATTGATATCGACAAAACGTGGCATATCAAGTTGCAGCAAGACAAAGCACCTCCCCATGTGTTAAGGCTGGGCAAGGTGATCTGGTATGAGGAAAAGAGTCCCCAAAGCCAGCACCAGAGTCAGAGACAGCCCCTGCTCCCACTATTAGGAGTTCCACACGAGGATCAAACTATATAACTGTAACATAAGCAGTGTGCCTACATGAGTCCTGTGCAGGCTCCCTGGTGGTTGGGTCAGTCTCTGTGAGCCCCTATGAGCCCAGGTTACTTGATACTTGTGGGTCTTCTTGTGGTGTCCTTGACCCCTCTGGCTCCTACAGTCCTTTCTCCCCCTCTTCTGCAGGATTCCCTGAGCTCTGCCTAATGTTTGGGTTCCAGAGGCAGTCTTAAAAGTAAAACTATGTTAAGGCTCCCCATCTTCTTCAAAGACAACAAGCCACTTTGTCAGCTATACTATTTAATTAAAGTGGATACTTTGCTGAATTTTATAAGTGGATTTTGATTCTATCATGGAGATAAAAATTTCTTGCATTTGTCAAATTTTATGGTGGATCCATATGAAATTTGGAAATTGTCTTACATTTTCCAATTATTTCAAATTATCATACTTAGAACTCTGAAGTTCCACTCTGTCCCTTGCTTTGAGCAAACCTGGCTTCATTTTTTTGTGGGCCCCTTCAGATTTTGGTTACCCTAAATCCCAGTGAAAAAGGGAGGAACATAAAAGACTATGTGAGAAAATACCTTAGTGCAGATAGAGACACCCCACCCCCCAACACCTTTGTTTTGGAAGAACCAAAAGTTACAATTCTAAAGATGGCTTTTAATGTTACATATCACTAAGAGAGTGTTTCTTTTATAACTGTTATATAGGAGTTGAAAATATGAGTTAGCAAAGCATACATGGAAGAAAAAGCTCAAAATGAGGAGTGCCCCATTTAAAATTTTAAAAAATAAAAGAAGACATATCTTTTTACTTAGAAATAAATGAAACATTATTCCCTAAACTGTCCATGACTTCTAATGACAAACTAAGCACATAAAGATTTTATGAAATAAATTCTTCAGTATTTTCAACAGTCAACTCATAAAGACTATTGGGGAAAATAGCTCTTTGTTATGAAAACAGTTCTCTTTAATATTCAACTCTCATTAAAGGTTGCAGCAAACAGGAAGAAACATGCCAACAATGAAACAAAAGGTGCAACCCACCCCTACAGTCGTGCAGCATCGTCTGCTGCTCCTGAAGTCTCTGAGGCTTCTGTTGTGGCTGCAACCACTGCTGCAGCCACTGCTGCCCCTGCTGATGTTGCTGCAGCTATCATTGCTGTTGCTCCTGGTGCTGCACCGGACAGTTCTGCTGTTCCTGTTGCTGCTGCTGCAGCTGCAGCTGCTGCTCTAGATGCTGCCATTGCTGTTCCTCCAGGTATTCTGCTGTAGCCCTGGATCCTCCTGATGCTCCCTTTGCTGTACCTGCTGCTGCTGCTGCTGCTACAAAAAGTAGATTGATTCTACAAGGAAAGTATGTGGAAGCAAGAAAGCAGCAACCTCATGTTGAGGAGGCAGAAGAACATGATGGGTAAGACTAGAAAGATTTAAAACTAGGTATTGTTTCTGCCCGTTGAATGAATTCTGCTTCTTGATAATTTTCATGCCTAACTTGGTTTTACTAGGGATAATCTTGAATGGGAAGACATCAAACAAACAAAAAACCTAAAAAAAAAAAAATAACAAAATTAAGTACCATTGTGTCCCATTAATATTGATGCATTTTGTTTAAAAGATAATAACTAAGGTTGTCAAATGTGAGGCAAAACGAACTTGGAAACCAGTATGTATGTCAATTTTGAGCCATAATATAGTAGCAATGATTCACACAATTCCAACGTATCACTGTTTTGATCTAACAATTTCATTTTGAGGATGAGTTCCTTTAGATTAGGAAAATATGGCTTTTAAACACAACCACACACATTCTGAAAAACAATATTGTCTATAATTGGCAAAATAGAAAAGATGTACAAGTATGTGATACATATTATACACAGTTGAAGAATATTTAATATACAGAATTTGAATGCATATGTAGATGTATGTTCAAGAAACAAGGGTAGTTATTTAAGCATCATCAGATTATAGCATTACACTTAAAATAACCATCAGTAAGGAATTAGATTACCAAATCCATATAAAATGTAGTATGTGAGCCGGCCAGTGGTGGCGCATGCCTTTAATCCCAGCACTCGGGAGGCACAGGCGGATCTCTGTGAGTTCGAGGCCAGCCTGGGCTACCAAGTGAGTTCCAGGAAAGGCACAAAGCTACACAGAGAAACCCTGTCTCGAAAAACCAAAAAAAAAAAAAAATGTAGTATGTGAATATTTAAAAAATGAGTTTCAAGGAAGCTGCTTTCTAGAATGAAATTCTACTTCCTAATTAACAAAACAATTAGTTGTTAATCTGTCTATTTCTTCTCAGTGCTCCTGTGTTGATAATTGGAACCCCAAATTAGCCTTGCTGTTGCTGTGAGGATTATACCCAAGGAAAATGTCAATAAATATTTCTGTTTTCTGTTCTCTGTTGATATGCAGTGGCCTAATTTTAGTTTGAAGTTTACTATCAGCTATCAGAGTAGTTATGCCTACTTTCTTTGGTTTCTATCCACTTGGTAGGTTGATTTTCACCCTTTTTACTCTTTGTCCATGAGTTCCTTTACCAGTATTTCATGGAGACCTCAGATCATTGGATGCACTTTTGTTAATGCAATAACCCAATCTAGCTTTTATTTATTGGTGTGTTTGGCTTACTTAAATGTAAAGTTATTGTTGAAGATCTTTATTAATAACTGAACTTTTATTGCCTGATTTTCTGGTATATTGCATTATTATTGGCTTCATGATTCTCCCCAGTTAGCCTCAGGGCATGGTCTGATTTATTTTGTGGGACATGATGGATTCATTCCAACTCTTTTTCAGATACTAGTACTAAGTTATTTATTCTTTCCTGTGTCCCATAATTGGGACTCCTTCTCTTTCCTCTGTGTACAGTATTTATTAAATGCAGGCTGTGAGGTCACGTTGAGAAATTAGCCCTCAATATTGAGATAATTCTTTGTGACTCTTGCTATGCCCTAGATCCCCCACTTTTTCCTTTATCTAAGAAACAGCCTGTGTCTGAGCAACTGAATCACTTTTTCATCTTGTTTTCTAGCTACATTTTGTCGCCTCTTTCAATAATATTTTTTTCTCTCTATTTTAACACAATCTTCAATAAAATAAAAGTCCATCACTTTACACCTCGTTTTCATTCCTCTCTCCCCTCCCAGCAACTCAACCTCAAACCTGTCTGATATTCTTTTAAGTTGATAGCTTCTTCTTTACTGCTATTGTTACATACATATATGTGTTTTGTATGTATGTATGTGCTTGTGCAAATTTCTATTGGTCTCCTTTCACCCAAGTGAGCAAACAGCTACCACATTTCTCCTAAGAGCTTTGAATCTCCTTGGAATTCTATTGGAACTCTTGTCATCCTAAAAGGAATTTTCAGAAATCCTTTTGAGGTGAACTCATCATTTTGGCTTCCCATTTAGGCCAACTACGACAATGTTTTAAGACCAGGACTCTAAGGTTCACCACCTTGCCTTACTTAGCATTTTTTGAATTCTTACATCCATGGTCCTTTTTAGAGTGTGGATTCCCAGTGGCATCTGGGTTTGATCTCATTAGAAGTCATTCATGCTGCCATTTTTTTAAAACAATTTGTACATGGATAGTGTAAAAACTAGAAACCAGTATTAGTACACAGTAAATGTTGGCTCTTCTGTGCTTCATGGATTTTTAACTTTTGTATCAAGTAATTTAATATTCAACTGTTAGGTAGCTTCCTTTAAGCTTCATTACCTTTATAATTTCCAGTCAGTCTCTTTGTGGTCCATGAGCTTCCTCTAGTAATAACTTTGGATCTTTTGTGCCTCTTCCTTTTAAAGATACAGCCCATATCACATTTAAGGGCTGAAGATGTGGCTCATGTGTTAGAGTATATGCATAACAAATGGCAAGATCTGGTTTTGATGTCCAGGTGCCTCACATGCAAACAATTGTGCAAGTCAAATTTTGTGCTGACATAATACAATTGATATGGATGAAGACTTGAGATTCTAGTATCCCTTAATTACTGTATATTTGTATTTTCTCTGACTCACTGACTTAAATCTGCAATCATCAAACAACTGCATTAGCTGAGGACAATTTTTTTTGACATCGTTTTGTTTTGCTTTTAATGTTTCAGGCACAAACAACAACTAAACCATATTCAGATTCTTAAGAGAGAGTCACACAACTTCAACAATAAATGTGATGGAAACCAAAATTAGAAGCCTTAAATCTACATTCTCTAAATCAAAAGTTAGCAGAGCATTAAGTGCATTGGAACTGGAATGGTCTAAGTACCTCTATCATGAAGAATTAAGCATTAGAAAATCATTTCAATATTACCTAAAAAAGTAAGGAAAATACATATATGCAGAAAGCCCAATAAGTTTATTAATTTGTCTCTAAAAATTAATTTTTAACAAAGAACTATTTGTGAAATTCCTATAAAAAATGTTTTGACAACGTGAATGTTAGTTATGTGATATAATTTTGGGAAATAATACTATTGCATAAACTTAATTTTAAATGATCACTCTTACAGATTAGGATATTTGATATTTTCTGCTTTTTATTTCACATGATAATTTCATATACTTAGTCAAATCAGATATACATTCACCTGTATATTTTTGAAACTTCCTAGTTAAGACAGTTATATTTACATAAAACTTTTTGTAAACATTATCATATACATAAATATTGAATGTTGACCTATCTTTAAAATAGTATAGCTTAAAACCAAGGGTATGAGTACCACCACCCCTACTTCCTCAGGCATACATATTCTGACAGTTGGTAATTTTCTTTGCTGTGAACTTTGATTGTACCACTAGAGGGAGCCAGGAGACAAACTGTTCTTTCGCATTTCTATACTCTTCATAAAGACATTCTGTGATATAGGGAAAATCTAATATGGGGAAACGGTGAGGAAGAAAGCCTAGATCAGAAACAATGGTTAAAAATTGTCCAGTGTGAAGATTTTGGAGCCTATATTGGAGATTTCCACCTGTGCTGCCTTGGTAATGATGAAATGATGTCACAGTGTCTTAAGCTTCTTTGGTTCTTTTTCATTAACAGCCCCACTACCACATTCTCCCTGGAGTTTGTTGTGAATTATTCCCCAGTGCCAAATGTTTAATTATACTCAGCTAATACATGAGGCACACATAAGGGAAAGCAAATCTTTTCAAATGTCGTCAAAAGGTGATTTTGTAAAATCTCCTAACCGGTTTACCAATACTGTATGACCTCTCTCTTGGAAGGCATGAGGACTGTAGTGATGACGCACAGATGACCATTCTACTCATCCCAGCTTTGTGGGGCAGTGAGTGGAACTGGGGTAACTTACAGGAGCTGGGGTGAACTCTTACTCACAGTAACATGGGGAGCTTACAGGGAGCCACAGCAACCACAAAAGAGATTCTTTCTCTTTGTGCAGTGATTAATTGTCTATACGTTCTCATGGAGAAGAAAGGACTCATGAGGCCCCAACTCCATATGAAAAGAAGGGGCCCAGTGTGTCAACAATTCTGGTATATATAATTACAACCACTAAGCTTTTAAGAGGGCAAAAGCCATACCTTGGCCAAAGGACAGAGTGGTACAATAACGAAATCCACATAATCCTAGAAGTTTCATTTTAGCTTGTCAAGAAATATATTTAAGAATGACATCATGATGTTATAACAAGTTTTCATGTAATAAATCCCTATAATCAAGAAAGTGAACATCCAGGACCTTATGTTACTCTTTACATATTTTATTACGTATTCCAAAAACATCATGAAGAACATTATAAACATATTTAGTCTAGATAGAAGGAGTCTTATTGGTCATGATGTGCATCATTGATAGCTGTACCTATCCCTCCTACTTTAAAAATCTAGTTTCGTATGTGGAATACTTCTAGAATCATATGAATTATCTTTGGAAAAATTTCATGCCCACAAATGCATACAGCTGGTACACTCAGCAGCACCTTCACCATTAGCATGACATTCCATAAAAATTTCATTTAGTCTCATGGCAGTATTGTTAAAATGCAAGTAACTTAATAGACCTTCAAGAGGAAGTGGCAGCTTTAGATTTTACTCTTTACAATCTTTGCAGGAGTAATGAGAATTTAGAGAAGAGCAGGACAAAGCTTCACATGGAAATGCAGCACAGCAGATCTGCAGGGAATGCACAAAGCTTAAGGCTGTTCACTGAGTGTTCTTCTGCTGGCAATTTTGATAGCATCCCAGGACCCAGAATATGTCTCCTCCAGAGAGAAAACCTGACAGCATCTT